GGGGCAGGGAGCGAGGCAGCACGTGCTTCTCGCTTGGTGGTATCCTGAGGGGAGCCTCCCAGCTCCCTGCAGAACGCATGAGTTGCAGCTCTCTCGAACACGACTTGACATCCTCATAGGAAAACCTCTAGTATCTGCAAAAAATATTATTTTTACAGTGCTGCAACCCCCAAGAGCAATAAAAATAGAAAATCTAAAAGCCGTAGCCAAATACAACTCAGATGTGTAAATAAATCTGTAAGTAATTTGGTGTGGAAGTAGCATCATCCCCCTGCCACGTGCACAGGGATGTATCTTAGCACAGGGCAACCGAATGAGCGGCTGGTGAAGCCTCAAGCATCATCCAAATGTTTTCCAAGGCGCTCTCGAGTTCTGCAAACATTCACCCTTTTAATTTAAGCTATTGTTTTTCCAAAAGCATTTGAATTAAAAACACGCTCTCTTTTTACATCTAAATATAAATCCATTGTACACAAACAATAAAAATCTCTTCTAAAAACAATTCTTATTCTTCATGCCAAGGATTATACAACTCCAAATAGTGTGAATCCTTCTGCATGGTTTCAGTCAGTGAAAAGATAATTAGATGATTTAGAAAATCAGATAAACATCAGATTAAAGAGCCACTAGCTTTTATTGTGCGTCTTAAAAGAATTCCTTCAGAATTAGAGTCTAAAAGTCATGACTCTTGGGGGGGAAAAAAAAAGACCCTGGAGAGCATATTTAAAACTTCTGGAGAATATGCTGGGGTGGGTGGTGTTTTGTAGTATTAAAAAATATTCTCTCAGGCAAGAGATCTCTGTAGCTAGTGGAAAAACACTCTGGTTAGGTTGCACAAGAAGACTGGACCAGCGTGTGAGAAGTTTAGATTGAAGAAATTTAGATGGAAAGAGGAATGAGGACTGCTCTGCCTCCAGGATTCAGTCCAAGCCTGAGCTCTCGCAGTTGCCTTAAGCAACCAGAAGCCCTCCCAGCTGCCAAAAGCAGCAGTTCAAGGTTTCCTCCACGGTGGGTCCTTCGTTCCTGTCCCCACACATCTCCGCTCCTGCGTTGGCACCAGCATCCGTGCAGGCACATGGGAAGAGCTTATGGAGCCTCCCCTTGTGAAGCAAATCTTCCGTTCCCTTGGTGAATTTAGTAGTCCCACTCACACTGCATCATGTCCAAGCAGAAGGATAGCCTCTGTCCTGCTCTCTACACGACAGAGATGATACCCAACATTTAGTTGGCTTTTTTGGTGGTGGTGCATGTTGAGCTGATGATTTTTGCCAGTGATGACTCCAGGATCTCTTTGGCAAATTACAGTGCCACTACCAAGCTGAGCATCACTGAAGCATCCTTTAGATTATTTCTCTCTAGCTGCTTTACCTTACATTTCTCCACATTCAAGCTCATCTGCCAGCCTTGTGCATGCTCCTTCACTTCCTCGACATCCTCCTGGTGTTCCTCAGCAAAGCCACAACATATGGCTGCCCAAAAGGACTTTTACTTCTGCTTCTATCAAGTGTGTTGCCTCTCATTGAAACAAGTCAAGAAATCTGCATCCTTCTGGGAATATCTCTGGTTGTATAGAATATTTACCATGACATTGCTTAATTTATCCTTTCTTTCTTTCTTTCTTTCTTTCTTTCTTTCTTTCTTTCTTTCTTTCTTTCTTTCTTTCTTTCTTTCTTTCTTTCTTTCTTTCTTTTCTCTCTTTCTCTCTTTCTTTCTTTCTTTTCTCTCTTTCTCTCTTTCTCTCTTTCTCTCTTCCTTTCTTTCTTTTGCCAGGCTGATTTTTTTCTGGCCACCCAGAAGCTGATAGATATATTATTCCTTCTTTTTAGAGGAGGAATGCTTATATGTTACCCCCTAACAGATGCTTTTATTGGGAACAAAAGTTCCAACATTCCCTAGTTAGAGAGGGGCAAGTAACAGACTGTGGCTAGCAAATCTCAAGATTTATAATATGTCCAACTCAATAACACATCTCAAAACACTGTTTCTCGACTACAAGATGCTGAGTGTTCTCTCATTTTGCCTGTTCTTAAAAAACTTCTGGGCAATTAGAGAAAACTGGTAATGAAATTTACTGGTTGGGTTTTTACAAAAATCTGCAAGGAAATTCATACCAGAGGATTTAAAAACTGTTTGCATCAGAGCTGTATCCTGAAAGGCACATGACCTGGCGTCTCCTTCCTCGTACCGCGAGCTGGATAACCATCCACACACTTCATGAGGGACTTGTTGCTTACACAACAACTCAGCCCAAATATTGCTTCAGAATTTGCTTTTAGAGGGGAAACTGAGCCTTAGAAAAGTGACATATCCATAAATCTTCCGGATCCTGTGTTCCTGCACTGGACTGCTGCACAGCAAAGCTCACACTCAACATGCTGAGGTCCTGCGTGATGCTGGCAAGGAAATTGAGATCTTTTGGAAACCTGTCCATTAGGTAAAAGATCCCTCTGGGAAGAGGTGGTAATCTAGAGACCTAGCCTGATTTTCCAACTCCTGGGCTAGCTCCACACCATGCCCCCAGGCTCAAAAACCTCCACAGGAGAGCTCATGGATCATGCAATCATTGAAAGAAGGCTGCACAGAGGCAGGCAAGCAAAAAAAAGCCTTTTTGGAGCAGGCGGGTGCCTGGTGGGAGTGTGCAGAAGACAGGAAAAGGCTGCCCAGCCAGGTCTCCATCACCTGTGGGTGAATTAGCTGTGGTGACACTTTCCCTTGGTGTCCCCGGCTCTGGGTTTCCCTGGAGCAGTGGCTCGTTCTGCAGCCCCTCTGTCTTGCTCACACCATGGAAGAGATAGTGAGTCCTTCCTGAGTCTGTCACCAGCACTAAATTCACTTTTACACATTCAGAGGATGAAGAGAGGCCCAACCCAATGCTGTTCCTCACTCTGGTGGCCTGTTAAGACAAGGAACATGTCTAAAAGAGTGCACCAAATGCATCTTGGAGGGTATAAAGTGAGCATTTTGGGATAATCCACTGCTGGGTAAGCACTGGAGGGAAAATATGTGTTTGTTTTCATGCAGGGTCCCATGGGCTGCAGCGCCTGGAGGGGCCGACCATGGGACATGGTGGGTGGGAGAACAGCAGTGCCCGGGCTACAGACAAGGGAAAACACAGAAGAGCTACAGATCAGCGTTATCCAAAGCGGCATCAGAGCAGGGCACCGGGTGAGTGTGTTTTGCTGCAAACTCTTCCGTGACAAACACAAGGCTCGAGCAAAGAGCCAGGGAGAGCCATGCAAGAGGCGGCGGGCGGATAAAGCGCGAGCGGCTCACGGAGGCACCCGCGCGGTGCCCGGCCGGCCGAGGAATGTCCTGGCCTCCCTTGTGATTGGCTGCGGAACGGAGGAGTCAGTTTTCACGGGGGTTGATCAAAAAGTTTCCCTGCACTTTCCAAAGCTGCTGTCTGAGCGGAGGCATTGGGAAGAGGAGGCCCATTGCTCCAGCATTCCTCAGAAAAGCTACTCGCATGAAATGAGAAGGCTCCTCTATCCAAGGATTTGCAGCCAAGAAAAGCCGCGGAGAGGCCATTCTCCTGCTTTTCTCCCACAGCCCGCGCGGCAGTCGCTCAGCTCTCACTTCTGGCATGCGTCTCATCCCTCAGGATACTATGTCACAGTACTCCACTAACTTCCTCCTGCTTCCCATACCCGAGTACCCCGTGCTGGACTGTGCACCCAACAAGATCATCAAGCTCGTGGTGCTGGGCGGCAGTAGCGTTGGCAAGACGGGTAAGTGCACAGGTGAACTCACCGGCTGATTCCCAGCGTGGGCTCTGCAAACTCCTAACGGCAGCAGCTGAAACGTTTGGAGTTGCCCTGGATAACTTGGGACGCTGGTCGGCTGTTCCGGCAGGCTCAGCTCGAGTGCGAGGTTGCGGTTACGCGGACCGGGCACTGTGCTGGGGGCTCTGGAGTCACAAGGGATACTCATGCTTTGGGCAAATTATTTAACATTCCAAAATGGGAGGGGTGGTTTTTATTCTCTGTGGTAAATGTTTTGTGCTTTGTGGACAAATAAGAGCATGCAAAATGTATTTTTCCTTACTATTTCCTAAGGCAGAGGCAAAGAAAGAAGGCTAAAGGATAGTATGAGCACTTCCTCTTTTGGTTTACATTTCAGAAATGATTAAGGCCAGATTTTATTTTACTACATCTGAGGTTCCACTCTGGAAAACACTTTGTTGTCTGGAGCTGCATTTTCACATCAGTTTTAAGCAACTTGTTGAAGATACCTACACTGCCTACTTCCTCTAAGGATACCAAAGAGATGGCTGTGAACCTAGCATGAGAAAAATTATTTTTACAAAAGAAGCCTACACTAGAGCTGTTTGCAGAGGAAAGCTTTTTTATTCAGATATTAACTGCGCTGTTTTGCAGATGATTACAGATCTGCTGAGATGAGTACACTGTAGAAAATATAAGTTTCTACTGCCAGAAAGGGTTTTCAAGTCTTGTAAGAAATCAGGAATAAGGTAAATATTCTAATCCTGTAGTGCCTGAAAGCACCACCGGTTAAGATGAAAGAAGAAGGCGCGGAGCACCGCGGCGTGACCCCTGTGCGTGGGGCACATGCAGCTTGTTTGGGGCTGTGATTAGATATCGCCCATGTGCTTCATGAGAACGACTGAGGATTTTTAAGCCTGGAAAGAGCCATTAGATCCATCAATCTTATTTCTTACGTGACACAGACATCTAAAATTTGGTGTTGGGATTAATTTTAGAATTTTAAGAGTTTGCTTTGTTATTTTTTCCTGAATGATCTCATACCAAAGATCAGACTGTTGTATCTGCAACCACAACAAACAGTTCTCCATAACCCACACCGAGTAGCCTAACTGAATCTAAGAGACCTTTTATAACACAACTTGCCAAAAACTCTGCATTAGGATGTCACAGCCTGGCCCCAAATCTGTTTTCTTTGAGTGCAGAGAGAGGCATTTGCAGAATAACATGTGAGCAATAGGAAGATTAACTTGATTTCCGAATATACTAAGTCTTCCAGTAAGGTATTACATGTGTTCTTCAAAGATTGATTCTGGTTCACGTTACAGACCCATATTTTTTTCATTGTTTTACAGCCCTGGTTGTGCGCTTTCTCACAAAAAGATTTATTGGGGACTACGAAGCCAACACTGGTGAGTCTGCTTTGTACCGCGGTGCTGCAGAGAGCTTGAAAGGCTCCAATCTCCTCTGCTTTGCGACCGCTGCATATTACAGGGAAGCCAAGCAGTGCGAGATGTCCACAAGGTGCATATTTTCAGTTAATAGCCTCGAGCTGCAAAAGCAATAAATCAAAGGCTCATTATTTATGATCCTTTCAACCATTTTTTTTTCCCAATGTGATGGAAAAGGATCAGAGTAAAAGGGCTGCTTGGGGACATACCTATCCTAAAAGGCAGGCTCAAGGAACTGCTTCATATCAATACCCTTTGCGTATAGGGCGTAAAAGGCAGCTTGGGACCTTTTCTGTGTACTTGCTTTTTTCAGTGGCTTTTATGCCAAGGGGGATTGCCAAATTTAAGCCTTATTTCCATGACATAAGCAAAGCAGCCAGGCAAACTCCTCTACTTTGTTTCTTGTTTAATCCTGGCCTGTAGGGACACCTCAAAGCCCACGTTCATGTCAACTGTTTAATTCATAGCCCCTGTGCTGCACGCAGTGCCAGCTGCGCAGGCCTGCCTTGTAGAAAGGCCCTTTGTACGCGGAGCTCATGCCCACCAGCACATCCCACACGCAGGTCATCCTGCAGCTTGGGGCCAAGCAGGGCTGGATTCAAAGCAGTGATCGCCTTGGATGTTACTTTGGAGATACTGCTGCACTTCAATGATGACTTAGGGATGGAGATGGGAGTACGCGACGCCTTTGATCTCGGTCTGATGAAATACGGCCTGGAAGCTTCTTCTTACGCCTCCCTCTTGCTGACCCGATGCAACCTGGAAGGTTGCCTGCACTATTTCTTTCTTTTCCCCTCACCTTTTCTATGGGAGACAGTACATCAAGTCAGATTTCAGAGCTTTGCAGTAGGTTGTTGCCAGAGATGCTGCAGAAAACCACAGTTTTCCCTTGAGCTACAAGCCCAAGCTGGAGAAAAAAACAAGTATACCAGGAATATGAAGCAGCTGGTGGTATTTATGATCATTCAACCATGCTCTGCGTTCAGTCTGGTGTAAGGCAGAGCTAAGGCAGTGAGTGGAAGCACCTGCTCTTTTTTTTCTGCACTGCATTACAGAGGAGGAATAATATGTTGTCTGGGCTTGGTTCAGGGGTACAGTATCTTCCCCATAAAACAGTACTCTCTTTCCAGCCTAAGCTCTGATGTGCTTTCAAAAAGAAAAAAAAAAAATGCCAGAAGGGCTATATCACCCCACAGAGTCACTACTAAAATAACATTTGGTACATGCAGCAAACTTTGCCATAATAAATTTCCTTATATTGTGAATGTTTCTAGGAGCTCACATTCTTTTCCATTGAAATAAAAACACCTGCTGCCTTCAAACAAATTTTAGGGGGTTAATTTTCCAAAGCGATGGCCTTGTTGTCACTAGCGACGTGAATTCCTCGCTCTCTAGCAGATGTTTTCTCTGCAGACCTGAGACAAAGCACTTTATTTCAGTAGTAGCACGGACAATTGTATTTGGACAACATTAAAAGGTCTCACATAACAGCTGTGCATTGAGCATTTCTTTGTAGATCCATGTGACTTGTACTAAGCTCTAAAGAAAAATGATAAGGACACGAAGCTCTGAATTTATCCTTACTACAATACCCATTTCCTAGGATCAAAACTTCAGTTTTCTCTGAAACTTGGCCTGCATTCCAGTAACAAAACAACACTCAAACCCAGAACAGTGAGGGGTTTGCACGGACTGGGGCAATCCTAGGCATTGTGAAGCAGCACTTGGACCCTGAATATCCTTTGGGTTATCAAGAACTCAGATTCAATCTATCCAGATTTTGGGGGAGCCCCAAAACATCTAGACTGCAGCACTTCCATCTTGACTTTATTCACTGTTTCTTCTTTGTTACAACCATTGACTCTAATAATCTTCCTCTCCCATCAGGTGCTTTGTATTCGAGGAAGTTCACCATAGATGGGGAACAGATCTCCCTACAGGTGCAGGACACACCTTTTGTTTCACTGGAGGTAAAATATCTGATGAATGCATCAGTGCTTTGAAACATAAATTGTTTTTTGCCAACACTTTCATCTGTAAGCAGCTCCTTATCAGCAGAAATATGTGTGAGTTTAAGCCCAAATGAAGCCAAAGATGGGTATTTAAAGCCCTGCCAAAATGAGTCTTTGAAGGGGTTAAATCAGGCTTCTTTAAGAACAAGACAGAATTAAAAGGAATATATTTCAAATACATGACTGCACCCCAAGCCTAAACAGCAGTAAAACCATAGACTGGCTTGCTCCTGCCAACTCCTTGCTTGTTTTATTTCCTGTCAGATAGTTTCTGGCTCTACATGGCAGAAAACTCTCACCTGCCCAGAGGCCCAGCTGGCTCCTTTGAGACCCTCCTGTGCACCCAGATGGCTCCTCTAGAAAGATGTTCTTTCCAGGAGGGAGTTCATGGGATGCTTTTTGATGCCTTCCTTATTATTTTATTATGTATTTTTTTCCCTTATTATATATATATTTTACATTTTACTCATTTCTTATTTCTCAGGTGCCAGCACTTATCCATATGCCTCTTTCAATCAGTGCTTAAGATATTCTAGATTTAACAGCTGGCTAGGAACCTCTCTCTATTACTTGAAGCAGGATCCGAAGTTAAGAAATCTCTTTTAAAGACCCGATATACATGCCGAACCACTTCCATTTTTTTGGATGACTAGAAGTGGGTTTAAGTGGAAGGCAGGAAGCTTTGACCCTGCTGCTGAGGGTGCGCAGAGCAGAACGAGGACCCCTCATTCATTCTGGACACTGAAAAGCAAACAAAGGCAGCCATGGAAGCCCTCCAAATATTCAAGTGGGATTTACTAGCACAAAGGCTTTATGCCAGCCTGCTTAGAGAGGACAGGGAAGAGAAGCTGTTGACGGTGATTAGGCACAATTGGGAATGGCAGATACACACAGGGCAAAGGGAATCCCCTTTCTGTTCTAGCCCACGGAGGAAGGAGGGAGGGGAGGAATTCAATGCCCTCTTTCACACCAAATATAGTTTTATTTTCCTGTTTCCCTGTTTTGATTAGACTGTGCCCTGAAGTGCCATAGCCGTTGCCAGAGCTCTGCAAAATTCAACAGAGCCATCAGCTGAGGTTTTTAGTAGTCAGAAACTATTTTTAATTTAGCTAGGAGGAGCTTCAGTCTCTTTGTCCCAGTCAAAGGTCTGCACTGCTTCAGCAGATCCCACAGATGCGCTTCTCTTATCTGGCATCTCTGTTTGTATCAACTGCTGGGTCTCCTGCCACTGGAAGGGATTGTTCCTGCAGCATGGCTTGGATTTTGTGCTGAGATCCTACGGGGGAGAGAGCTGTTTGCCATCCGCACACTGAGGGCACGGGTTTCTGGAGGAAGTCGTGTGGAACTGCTCAGGAGTCTCACCACACCAGAAACGTTCGTGTTGGAGAGAGAAACAGAAGCAAACAGATACCTGGTTTCGTTAGGCGATTCACTGCTGCTTGAGCTGTACATGGCAAGCGACTGGCTGCTCCAAAATTCACTCTCCAGCAGCGATTTCCATTCAAAATGTAGCCCAATAGCCTTTGATTCTTCTGAATAAAGCATTCCAAAGGGGATTATCCATCCATGGCTCTGCTGGGTGGGCCTAGCAGAGTAAGGGAAAATTTCTGCTCATTAGGCCCCTATAAATGGACATATTTTTCAAAAATATTTTTAAATGCTTGCCAGAGCAATTAGTTCCTTTTACCCATAAAAGAAGTTTGTGGGTGAAAAGAGGCTAGCAGGACACCAGGGGTGGCTAATTAGCTACAGACTGGATACAGCCCAGACAGCAGCAGTGCAAAGTGCCCTTCCTCTCACTGCATACCCTGGCCTGAGTTCACACTCATCAGCCTTGTAAGCAGGGGGCCTCCCTCCTTGCTCCATGTGTGATTTGGATGAGCTTTTTGGAAGGTGGGAGGAGGAATGATCTGTTAAAGAATTTCACCAATATATTCTGCACATTTTAAATGTATGTAAATATGCATCTATATGTTTATCATATATACCTAGATAGTGGAATATATGTTTTACTATTTTAACTTTCCCTAGCTAATACTGAACAATGGTTAGCTTTTTACCAAATTTTATTTTTCTGCTCTTTCCTATGACAAACTAAATTTCTGTTATAAAATCTCTTAATGCTTTCCCAGGTGTTCTATGCCTTAGGAATATGGCATCAAGCATGCATGATGAAACACTCTTTTAATGATGGTGAAGCATCTAAGAAGCTGCTTGTTTTATTTTAGGAAGAGGCTATCCAGCCTGTTACACTGGAGTTGTTCTACAGGCTCCAGTTTTCTCTTGTCGGTTAGCTAAGTTGTTTACTGAGCAAATGAGCTACGCTGGAAAATAATAATTTAATAAAACATTAACGGACATTAGTGGGCTTTGGAGAGGATTTAAAATGCCTGTCCTAAGTCCAGCTGAAGTGGACAAAGATTTCTAGAGAAGAATTTATCAATGCTACTATTAGCAATAATAATAAAAATTTGGGCTCTGTATTCATGATGTTGAAGTCCCCTCGGGGGCCTCTTATTCCCTCTTACTTCACCAAGAAGTGTCTTGTTGGATCTGGAAGAAATTACAAGGCTCCAGAGAACCTGTTCTATTGACAGGATTGTCAGTTCTCTATCAAACCCAGCAAACTGGCACTAACTGCAGTAGCAATCTCCTTGTCTGGTTGGGTAGCAGGCCAGCACAGACAACAAGGAGTGAAGGGATAGCTGAAAATAGCTTCATCTTGCAAAGTGAGCTGATGTCTTTTCAAGCCCCACGGTATTGTGCTCAGCTTTATGTTCCCCACGCTGGCGAGCGAGAGGGCTGGTTTGCAGCAGTGAGGGACTGATCAAACATGCGACAAGCAAAACATTAACACAAGCTCCTTTCAGCTCCACAAATCAACATGGAGATTTCACTGCACTTTCAGGTCTAGTAAATTGCTTATTTGTAATAAATTGCTTTTTCAAAGTAACTTTCAGTCTGAATAGCTGGAGAACTACAGAGCAATAAAACATGTCAGGCTTCCCCTAACAGAGTTAGTGAGAACCCCTGGACAGGGAGACACTGAACACTGCATTGGCAAGCCCTAAGAAAAATGCTTTGGAGGACAATCCTTCACTGGCCTGCTCAAGTTGGCAGGTTTTCTAATGCTCTTATCACACCAGTCGTGATTTTATCCACAGTAATAAGGCAGCTTACTGTCACACTGATTCACTGCAATAGAATGCAACGTTAATCCACACAAAGTTATTGATATTCTGGCTGTTCTTCTAGTTTTGATTGCTTGGCTTTAACCCCTCGCCCTTCCTGTGCCACCTACCTTTCATGTGCTCTCGACACACAGGGAACCTTGGTGCTGTCCCAGCGGTCAGGGAGGTTTCTCTCTGTAGCTCAGATTAGTTGTGTGACCGTTTGCTCTGTCTGCTCCCCGTTCTCAGTTGTCTAATCTCGCCCCTCTTGGTTTTCATGGCAGGACGACACGGACAGCATTTGCTGCCAAGAGCAAATAAACCGCTCGATCTACTGGGCAGATGGCTTCGTGTTCGTCTACTCCATCACAGACTATGAGAGCTACCGAGTCATCCGGCCGCTCCACCAGCACATCCGCAAGATCCACCCCAATGCCAACATTCCCCTGCTGCTGATGGCCAACAAAGGAGACCTCCTGCGAGCTAGGCAGGTGTCCTCCAAGGAAGGACTCCAGCTGGCCAGTGAGCTGGGGGGCACTTACTACGAGGTGTCAGCCCGGGAGAACTGTGAGGGCGTCCACGAAGCCTTCCAGCAGCTGTGCCAGGAGGTCAGCAGGATGATCGGGAGCTGCAATGGAGAGAAGCGAAGGGGCCTCCACCTCGTCCGCCCCAAGTCTCCGAATATGCAGGACTTGAAGAGACGTTTGAAACAGGCTCTGACTTCCAAAGGGAAATCTGCCACTACGCTTTGATGTGATCGACAGAAATTGTTTCCCACAGCCCTGAAAAAAAAAAAAGGCAAGAAAGCAAGCTGGTGTTAAGGAGCATCTCCAAAATTCAACAGTCAGGTTGTGCAAGAGGGTCTTTCATTTTGTCTTTGCCTCTGCCTTAGAAATTCTATATTCATTCAGCAAAAGGGACTTACTGACAGTGCTCTTTGAGGCAAGAGATTGTCCCTGCCTATTTCCTCTTCAAAAGGGACACGATCAAATAGCTTAGGCCTAAAATGCAGGTTTTGTTAATAATAATAATGAAATCTTACTAGTAAGAGAAATGACTTCTCTTGTGGATGGAAATATTCCTGAATACAGGCAATGAGCCACAGCAAGAGGCCAGGAGAAGGACACGAGCTATCCTGAGCAAGCCAAACTTTTTTAAGATCTGCTTAGTAGGCTCAAGACTGGAAAAAAATAAAGGCAAAAGAAAATTAATAGGATACAGAGTGAAAACTAATAATTAAAAGACAACTTTTAAGCTGTAGTTTAGAAAGAGTTCTTAGCAATGTGGGGAGAGATTTGTTTATATGGAAGCTTTAGCCTTGCAGTGTCTCTCTAAAGGCAAATTTAAAACAATCAGCGTTTGCTTACATTATTTTTCCTTCGACCCCTATGAACTATCACTGAAAATGACTCGAGGGTGAGACACATACATCAGCAGCATTTTGTAGGCAGTTTTTTTATGGTTTGCTTCTCATTTTTGTGTAGGTTTCCTGCATGGCAATGAAAAAGGGAAAAATAGAACAATGTCATTGTAAACCTTGCAAAAAATAGACTGTTCTGATCAAGAGCAGAGATGGCCTGAAACTATTTTTTTTGTTTCCAAACTAGCTAGAATTCAAGTAAATGATGTTGTGTGTAAGAAATAATGCCTTCACACAGAGTTCATTTAACTCATTAGATCTATTTTTTTAAAGAAGGAAAGGTTTTATGGTGTCTGAAATTCCTGCCTTCAAGAATTTATCATTTTATTTGCCCCAAGACCAGGCTTTACTCAATACGTCGCAATTCAACCAAATTACCTGCCTGTCAATACACATTTCACTGGCAGCATCTCACTACGTTGGGCCCCAGCACGTACAAACACTGGCATTTGAAGCCATGTCCTGTGATCCTGCCAATTTTATGGCAGCAATAACATCACGACAACGCATCCGTCACTCTGACTTAATGAGAGTGGAAGGGAGCTGGGCTGGACTGTGCTAAAGTCCATCTTTTTTTTTTTTTAATAGACCATCCCAGAAGTTCACAGGAGCATGGAATAAAGTAAAGCTCAGTGATTTATGCTGAGGAATGCAGCAGGGAAAATCCCAGTTTGATGGATACAGGAAAACCCCCTCAGCTGTGGTTTCAGAGAGCAACACAGAGCTAAATCAACCTTTCACTCATCGTGAGCAGCAAATGTGTAAACTGAGTCTGATAAGTATTTATACAGCTCAGGGCTTGAATTTTTTTATTATTATTTTTCTTGTCCCTGTTTTAGACCAGCCCTCTCAGGATTTTCCTTATCACCTGGATTTACTTTATCTACAGCTCACTTTCTCTTTTATTTATTGTTTTCCACAGCTGGTCATCTGAGAAAATCTTTTTTTCTGACTATTTTTTAATTCTTTTGTTCCCTCCATCTCCCTGCTCCACACACACAAAAAGGGCATTTTTTAAAGTTACTTTCAAATGGCAATAATGGGCAAAGAGAAAATGAGATCCTCCGTACCAGGACTATAAACACTACCACAGGATTTCTACTTTAGACTATGGTTTATTAGCAATTTTATATTTGAGTATCATTATTCATAGTAAGTGTCATTATTCATTGTTGGCACTTCAGTATTGCATTTGCTCACACAGAATTACAGTATTTTGAATAACTAATAACCTGGCTTAAATACTGAATCCCTAACATGAAATAGAGCAAACAGTTCAAAAGAGACACACAATTGTTTGAAATTGATTTACATCAGAAAAAATATCAGCAATTTTTAATGGCAACTAAATATTTTACCATTCTACTATGATACAATAGAGGCTAAATTTCCTGAAGACAATTTGCTGGCAATGTTTGTTTTCAGAAGAGCCTAAGAGAAATGGATGCTCGATCCTGTTCAACATGGTTGCAACTTACTCTTTCAGCTCTAATCCTTTCTCATGGGAGAAAAAAATCATTTCAAAGGTGTCGATGTTCTATTTTCCGTACCTATTAATAAAAAAATGCAAGGCCTTTGCTGACTAGTATGTAAAATGGTTCCCTTAAGTCTCACATCTTTAAATGTTTCTTTAAAAACCTTTTTTCTTTTTCCATCCTATAGTAATCCTAGTAACCTCCTTTGGAAGTATAGACAGATATTTCTACACTTGTATTCCCATGTAAGTAAGCATTCCCACGTTCCTGCTGCACTGGCGGGGAAAAAAAACTACATTTTAACTCAGGCCGAAGAGTATTGAAACATTTAAGTCTTCTCCTAAAAACCGACATGTGGTAAACATTTATTCTACCACAGGAACTTGGGGATAGTATCTCCTTTGTTCACCGAGCAGCAGTATAAGCCCCCTAATAGCTTTGGTACTGGTTTTAAGCCAGCCATACCAAGTCCAGAAGACGGGCACAGGCAGTTTTAACAGCAGAACTGTCCTTCCACACCAGAAAGCACCGCTGCGGCCACAGGAGCTGAGCAAGGCTGGGGGAGGACAGCGGTGCCATGAAAAGCAGGGAGAAGAGCCCAATGTGGAATTAAGGGCCTAAAAATAATCACACAAAATATCAAAGATTCCTCATGTACAACCTGATCATGAACTAGTGTTGTCAAGCTGCCAGGGAGAAGCGTATTGTACAGAAGACTTAATTTTAAGCCTGCAGAGGGAAGGTGCTTAATATAAAGTCAAGAGAGGAAAGGAAAAAGGATTTGAGCTTTTATTGCAGGTATCAAGGCAAATTTTCTTCTCAGTTTTACTGATTAAGTCCAGATTAACTCTGTTTGTAACAATACCAAGAGCAACGAGCTGTAGAATTCACTTGTTTTTTTAATGCCTCTTTTTCATTATTCCGCACAGTTTAAATCTTGGGCAGCATCTGGTTTTCAAGATGGTTTGCAGCTGGGTTTCCCTGGGCACAAAGCAGCTGAGTGATTTGCCCCAAGGTGACACAGCTGAGCAAGTACTTCAGAGGAGCTCAAGAACTGGCCTTTGTAATTAATTCTCAAGTTCTTACAACGACTACCAGACCATAACACCTCCCTCAAGGTATGCACAAAGTGCAGTGAGTTGCATTACGCAGGAATGTAATTAAAAGTTGGAAAAAGTTACTTAAATTACAAGCTATGTTAGGAATGGACAGGGCGAAATATTACTGTTCTGTTGGCACAGTGCACAGTTATAGTAATACTGACGCTGGTTTGGGGGTTATCGAAGTAAATTATTTTCTGCAGTGTTTCTCTGTTGTGTTTCTCACACATTATTCTAGAGATCCCCCATGGAAATACAGTGGGACTTGGGAGACAGGAAAATCGAGCTCTATTTTTAGCTTTTCTTGACTTGCTCAGTGATCTTGGCCGAACTTGCTTAATCTAAGTTGCCATGTCCATAACTAAGAATAAGAATATTTATGCATCTTTCCAGTGTGCTTTAGAACCCGCAGGAAAGAATGACTGAGCATTATGAACAACAGAAATAGACAGCGTTTGCGACGGGAATGTCTCAGATCCTAACATCTGAACTCAGAGCCTGATTCCTCCAACTCAGAGTCATTTGGATCTCACATTAATACCCGATGTATGCTAAGCATATGGTCAAAATGGGCAACTCAGCTTAGCCTGGACTGCAGGATAGTTAATGGTTTCAAAAGATTAATAACTGAAAGCTGTCAACTTACTGTTAAAAATGAATTTTCTTATACCCAAGCCAGAAGACTTTGGGTCAAACTCACATTGACTCCCTTGAAGTTGCAGCTATGTTTGCAGAGCGAAGACATGACCCTGACGCTGCAGAACACAGTGACATTTTTGTTAAGTTTTCAGTTGCTCCTGGATTGTCAACGTGTTCTTAGCAGTTGTGCATGTCTTTTGTGGTGAGCATGAGACAGCCACACTATTAAAAGTGAAAAACGAGCTTGAGATTCACTCTAAAAACCTCAGAAGCAGGGACAGTGGTCCTAGGTAAGACTCTCCAATCTATCCCCTCTAGAGACAACACAAGCCTGTTCCTCTGATACTTTCTCAACCCCTGTTCACAGTGCAATTTCTCTTTGCAGTCATTCTTCCTTGAGTTTAGAAGCATATTTTCTGCTGTTCAGCTTAAAATCTATTTCCAAGACTTTAACTCCAAGCAGACATGGTTTATATCAAAAGAAGAGTGTCTGCTTAGCCTCTTGACCTTTTTTACCTAAATCATTTTAAATTACATCTAAATCAAATCAGTGCAACACTGTATTTAGACAAACCTTTGGATTCATCCCATTTTTCCCCAGACACTCTTGTTGGCTTAGCCTAGCGATCCATCCGCTGCTGTGTGCATACAACATTAAGCTCATTTGTGTTGCTTAGTCATTGTTTATTTAAACCTGCTTAGTTCTTGTAAAGTTTGATAATTTGCTGCTCTTCAGTTGAATCAAGCGAGTTCTCTTTTCTAAGCAGCTGTGCAAGCTACAGATGCACTCAGAACAGCTGCTGATTTTCTGCTCTGTCAGATTTTTGCCCGTTCTTGAAAACTTTGGAATAACTGGGAGCATGGGAAGAGATACAGCAAACTTAGTTCTCAACTCCTTTGATCTTTTAGCCTTCTTCAGGGACATTAATTTAAACAATCCATTGCAAAGTGCACCAAAGTTTATCTTAAGTGATAGTGTATCAGCGTGGCTTCCTCCAGATGGAAAAAAACATGATGTCTGGAGCGGACAGATGAGTTGGTAGGCTTCTGTAAACCCATAGATCCAATTCATTAGGAGCTGTCATACCAATCCTCTTTCCTTTAGAAGATACATTTTTTACATTTTCCATTTTACCCAAACGGGTTTCACGGCACAGCCTCTGGGTCTCGTCACACAGACACTTACTGTCTCCTCTGCGGCAGGTCGAGGGGAAGCTGCACATTTTCCAAGCGTGATGGGCGAGAGCATGCACGCCCTGTGCTGCTGTTATGGATGGCCATGGAGACTGTTCCTAAGAACAATGTTTTTCTTCATTCTGGGCAATAATGCGGAACACCAGCAAGCAGTAACTGGTCATTTCAAAAAGATGTGAGTTTTGTTCAGTGAGTCTGGAAACAAGCTGTACTTTCTCTGCTGGTGAGAAAGCTCAGCAGATAAGCGGGGCTTGGACCTGTTCTGATGCAGCCTTTGAACTTCCACGATGAGAGCTGAATTATGTCATTTTTTGATTGTGAGCCAGGTTTCCAGATGCTCTCAGGAGTCACCACTCTTCACACTCTGTTCTGCATCATATCTCACTTCATCTCACCTCTGCCATCATGAAAAAGAGAAACAACTTTGGACTATCACACTGAAACTCATTCCCTTGCCCCTCATTTGTGATGAAGACCATGGGTGCTAGAGCTGTTTTTTCTGTTTCCTGAGGACTCTGGGACCAGAACTCATATTCATGCTTTATAAGCAGACATTATGATTCCAAATTAACAAGGCTCTTCATTATTTAATTAGCAAAGTGAGGTATAATATGGTACAGCTCAGTTGCTCTGTGACTCTCAGTAAGGAGCTCTGGGACAGGAAAATGAGAGAGAGACCTAAAATCTCTAAATTATGGTCCTGTGTGTATTTGGTTTTTTTGAGGAGACAAATATAGACTGACTTTCCCTCAAGCGCTTGGAAAGATAATAAGCTGGTGGCAAAGTGAGCGGTGATGGCAAGTCTAGCTAAGCTGTCTGTGCTCCAGCCCAGCCTTCCCAGGGCGTGTAGGGCGGCAGCCTGGTAAGGAAAGCTTTCCCAGTGCAAAACAAGCACTCGCTGGGAAACGAGGAGCTCTCTGAGTCAGAGCAGAGCTGGCTTGTCCGAGCTGTGTGTCTGGAGGCGCGTGCTGAAATGGAAAACGAGAGCCCAGGCCTTGGAGAGCCATTAGCGTTTCCCATGGATGTCTGTTCAGTGCAGTGGTGAAAACCTCATGTCTTTGTCACATTCCAGCCCACAGGGTTACTTTATGCTCATGTCAAAGTCACTTCTCCTAAAGGACTGGTCTCAGCATAGATATTGGGAATGCTCCAGCCATGAGCTGAGAGCTTCCACCCCTTTATCTGGTGCCCACCTATGAGGGCTCCAAGAGCTGGTTCCAAATTTGATTCGTGCTCCTCAGGTTGTGCTGGAGACCAGGAAAGGGCTCTCAGGACAGCCGTGATCTGCCAAGGGAGCAGCTTTTAAAAGTGACCAATACGTATCTGTTCCCAGCTGGGAAATGGTGCACTGTAAATGCACGTGCTCTTCTGCTAGCACTACTGGCAGCTTTAAACAGGACTTTCATTTTTAAATCCTGCCTGCTAATCAGTAAGTTTTCTCATTATATCTAATTTTGGTATGTTGAATTTTAGCCATTTGCACTTGTGACTTTTGCACTGGGCACAGAAGCAAAAAGAAGGGAGCAAAAGGTTCATCTCCTCATACTCTTGGCACCCCACATTTCCTCCCTGCTGCAAATCTGGCTCAGTGCTGACCTGCAAGAACCAAGAATCATGCACAGGGCTCAGAAATCCATGCAGTTCCCAAAGCCTGCACATCCCTGCATCCCTGTGCTGCACTCCTGGTGAGAGCCCAAGCACATCAGGTCTTCATGGTGGGGGGAAACCTACTTACACAGGGTTTGCAATGAGCAGTGAAACAGAGGCTTTGGCGGGCGAGGGGAGAAGGTTGCTGAAGGGTTAAACGCTTCCTGCCCAGGCCCTTTAATCAAGAATCACGTAATGTGGAATGAATGTTTCAGCTCAAACTGTTTCCTCACTCTGACAGCTCCGTGGTGTGAGGTCAAAGCAGGGAGGAGGACGGCAGGAAAAGCGGGGGAGTGGCGAGCTAGGAAACCCAGAGAAACGCGCGGGGATGCGAGGGCCGCTTCCCAAGTGCTCCAGCCTGCTGGAAGGGGCTGCGGGGAGAGTGGCGGAGCCCGTAGAACTTTAAGGACTTCCTGCTCTCTGCTTCTCCCATGTGTGCGCCTCGGCGCCGGGCTCTGTTCCCACGCTACATTGCAAAATACGCCTCGAGTTTCTCACAGTCTCTCTGCCCGGATGCAAACTGCAGCTTCGCTCCTTCCTGCACCCTGCAAACTGGGGACGCGGGGGCTCCTCGGGGGAGTTTATCCTTCCTGCACACGTGGAGCTTTTGCTACACTACAGAGCTGCTCCTTACACCCAGGGCTCCTCACAGGGCAATATACTCAAGTTGATAAAAGGCTTCAAATTTCAGATGAATTTGATTTTTCAGGCCAACCTGATCCTAAACCATTTCTTCTTGCATCAAGAGAGATAGGCGTAGTTTGATTTTGTGCACAGGCCTTCTGAGAAGCACAAAGCAACCGGTCAGTCGGGACAGCCTGAGTCACTTGCGGTGTCGGGGCGCGTTCCTGCCGGGCAGCACATCTCACGTCTGTCTGTCTGCCCCGCGGTCTCCACCTCCTCTGTCATGGGAAAAGCATTGGGGCAATTTTGCTTTATTGAATTTATTGCCATTTAACACAAACATCTAATCACCAGCCGCTGGCAGCATCCCTGTCCTTGCATGGCTGTAAGGTAAGAAAACACATCCCTCAGCCATGGCAGGGATGCAGAGAGATTTGATAGCTCTGCGCCTGCCCCCAAGATGATTAAATTCTGCATCTTCCCACCAAATGACAGCAAATGTCAGGAGGGAATCAGCTGACAAACTCTCTTGCTCAACACCATTCGCCCCTAAGCCACATGCAAAAACAAACCACTTTCAGGGCAGGAAATCCTCAGGCCACTTTGTCCCTGGATTCAGGAATATTTAAGCAGGCAAGCTGCTAATGTGAGATATCGACTGGTGAGTGCTATGGCCAGTGACGCTGTGGGCCGGCAGGCAGCAAAACTGCTGCAAGGACCTCAGGCAAATGCCTCTGGGGGCAAGAGGTGGATCTTCCAAGGATCTTTGCTCAAGTGTTAGGGCTTTTTAATAGCTCTGCGTGAAAACCGCTTCTTACAAACTAGGAAAAGCTCAAACTCAAGCCCAGAGCTCCAAATATTTTATTTCTAAAATGGGCCACTGCAAAATTTTCTAGGTCTGAGATCTGAGTTTTCAGCGCATAGTTCCAGCCTTCAAGCTGGAAAGATCCAAATTTAAGCCTTTTTTTTTTCCCTGCTGCAATGTGCATTTTGGGCTTACCAGTTCTGTATCTAGTTCCATATCTTCACACTCCCCATCTTTCAGGCCTGTTTTCCAGCTACTGCAGGAGGTAATGTCACCAGCAGACACTGTGGGGTGTTATTCATGTTGTCCCACCCCTCTGCTTGGGTTCCCATAAAATTAAAACAAGACATCCTTCCTTCGTGAAGAGTTTGAGACCTATTGATTAAATCTGCTGCCTACGAGCCAGGTGTCACATGGGTTTAAATACTCTCTGGCTGCTCCCTTGCGAGAAGGAGACTGATGGTTTGTTATTAATAGAGCAGGAAGCAGGGATTAAACTTTGCTCCCTAATCACAAACAAAAGCAACGACAGCCCTGCAGCTTCTGGGCAAACCTAGGAACGAGCAACTGTTTGTAAGGAAAGTGAATCCCCAAAGTAGAAACCCAGATTGATGTCTTGCAGGGACGTGAATTAAAACAAGGTCAGGTTTGGCAGGCAGCCTCCTCTGCACCTTGTGAGTACTCCGAGGGGCTGATCTGGGACATGATTGTTTTGACACAGGGGTTCCTGTTGCGAATGCACTCTGCAGGCTCCATATCAAGCAGCTGGGGTTTTAGATGGGTCTAAGGCACATTTCCAAGCAGGGTCAAGTGCCCGAGCTCCATGAGTGGCTTGAGGATCAGCAGAGACCGCTTGCAGATTTTACTGGCTAAGGATGCCCTAGAAATGGCCCGCCACAAAACCCATTTCTGAGGGCAGGCAGGTTGCTTCCCAGCTACAGGGAAAGTAGGTCAGGCATCTTTTCAAAGCCTGGGTTACCGCTGCAACAGCCAGGGAAGCTTTGTAGGTTCCGAGTCTTTTTGTCTAAGAGTGGTCTCTGTCAGGGCACCTGGGCAAGGTTTTGAGAGCTGAGCAAACACTGAAACAAAAGCTCTACATGTTCAGGATCCCTCCGGTTTGCCTGAAACTCCTCTGGCAAGTCTTGCATTCACTTTCCAGGAATAGCCGAGGGAGATTCTTCCCAGCAGCAGAGCTCCTAGCAGCTGGCATGGATATTTCCAGGGTGACAGTGACCCTCTGCGCAGTGCACAGGAGCCCTGACCCACCTGTGTGCTACAGGATTGCTGCCCCAAAGCATGGGTGCTGTTACAGCGACAGCACAGAGGGGCTGCGGGTGCTCCTATACCATGCAGCATGGTATAGATGCTCCCCTGGCCCTGCAGGGACATCCAGCTAGGACAGCATCGCTCTGCAGTAACACCAGACCCACGAGCTCTGCTAGCCCAGCTGAGCTCTGCCAGCCCAGCGCTGCTTCCTAGCCAATAGGCTAGGGATCACTTAGTGACAAAACGAAGCAGGCGGCTGGCACAGTCCTGCCCTCGCGGTGCCGGGGCTGCTCTCGGAGGCACTGCCCTGGAGCTGGGCCCCACGCTGCGCTGTGCGCTGCGGACGTGCCCGTTGTGGCTGTGCGGGTCGTGCTGGCACACTCGCCCCCTCACACGGGGACAGTGCAAAGTGCTTTTTGTTCCCAAATTGCTCAGAATTAGCCAAGCGCTGCCCATGCGATCAGAGCTGACGCGTCAGAGAAACGCACTGCGAAAAGAACCACCTCTCTGCTTGTGCATCATAAACAAACAAGCAAACAAAAGTAGAGGGAATAATCTTACCACAAATATTTGTCAAGCAAAATACAATCGGCTTTGAGCAGCAGTATCATCTCCCTGCCTTTAAAGCTCAGCTGGTGTTTCAGAAAAGCTCTATGGCATGGGCAGCCTTCACAGTTTCTAGGCACTTGCCACCCTGGGAACTGGAGACGTGGCAGACACGGCTCTCTGTAAACATCTAAACTCACCAGAGCAGGTTCATTTATTAAAACACCCGTGGCGGCAGCGGCTACGCTGCTGTGGTGCATGCCCAGAAATCCTGGTTGAAGAAAGAAGCTATCACATAAAAATAAACAGGACTCTACAGTCCAGTTATTTAACAAGGGCATAAAAGCAGTTAAAGAGATACTAAGGAAACCAGTCATGGAAAATTTAGGTCATATTATTTAAGCTCAGGCCTAAGGTTACGTTCCTTCTTTAGCATATGTTTCCTTCCCCATGCTTCACTGTTGTTTCTCAGGATGCTGGCAGCTACATAAACATCAAGATCTTTGAGTGGCTTTCTTCTGATTATTGAATATCCAATGTGACCTTTAATCCTTCAGTAACTCCACCCACTCCAATAAAGGTATCCCTACTATCTGCAAGGAAAGCACTAGGAAAAAGTAGAACTGCAAGGAGACATTCAACCTAGGTCCATAATGGGAGTTTTGTAAAGTACCAGATTAAAACAAACAAACAAACAACTTAAAAATACTACCAGTATAACAAAATCAATGAAGCATTTTAAGCAGCCTTTCCACTGCCTACAATATAAACTATTTTCAGCCAATGCTCTATTCTTTCTTCCATATACCTCTTTAAACCTGTTTCTCTCATACCAGTATTTCCAGCCATCTCCTGTGTGCACGAGATTTTTCTTCACTTGATCTCAGTGGATCAGGTTGCAGAATAATCACTTTTCCTTTCAATTCTAGCCTTGTTTTAGGCAGGGACTTCAAATACAACTCTACAAAGCAGGGCAAAGGAGTTCTAACATTGTCCAGCAGCACAGCTGTGGTTCCCAGATCCCTGATGACTTACAAGATCATGAGGAAAAAATCTGCAATTGGCCTCCAGAGTCATATGGTCCCCATAAAGCTTTCGGTCGAAAATGTGGGCAGGTGCACGACAATCTGCAATCATTTCCTTATGGCTGACAGCAGCCTATAACCCAAGCTTGGGAACTGGGAGTTTAGGGCTCACATAGGGGCCAACATTTTCCATTGCAGAACTCCCAAACCATGTGCTTGAACTGCCAGTCAGGCATCCAAGAAAGCACCTGTGCATTTAATGAAAGCGTATGGCTGTTCACCAGATGTCCATGGAGATGTAATAGATCCAGGCTCTAGGGCCATCACAGCAGAACCTGGCAAAGTGCCAGATGGGAAATCAGGAGTTGAGCTATAGACAGTAACGTTTGATATAAGGATTTTACTGTAGGTAGAGAACATGTTAAAAGAGAACTGGTAACAGATTGGATTGAAAAGGGTCGGACCAGTGTGGGCCAACCAGCAGAACTCCTGAAGGATTGGACTTGGAACCGACCTTGCTAAATATTTTCATGAATGGCCCTGGTACAAACTTCAGACCATGTTAGCAGAACTTGTCCATGATGCAAAGTTGGGAGGCCATTGAGGTCCAGGAAGATCAGAGTGACCTGCAGGAAGAACAGCATTCCTCTGGGGAACTGAATCATAGCGATAGGATGCAAGAGCAAACTAGACATTTGGTAGGGGGTGTCTAGGGGCTGAGAACAAGAACTTCTGCTCTCATCAGTCAGCGAGATTACAGACTGAAATGTGTTACTGTAGCATGGATGAGTGTCAGCGTGTCACAGCTGTGAGGCAGGGTATGGGATCTGAGGATGTATCGGGCAACACAGTTACAGCAAAGGGAGTACAGGGAGTATTAGTGGCCCATATATGGGCTCGCCGAGATAGCGCCCTGAGTGCTGCACACAGCACTCCGATTTTCCTGCTCACCCATTTTCCTGGTACAGAAGGATGACCAGGGGGTTGGAAACTTGTGGTATGGCAGGAGGTTGAGGCCACACGTATATTAAGTCGCTAACCTCCAAAGATCCAGTTTTTATGTCCACATGGTATAGTACCTGACATATGGAAATATTACCCCAGATTATGATCAGATATTTGGTGGTAGAGCTGCACACACAATTCCTACCCTGCACTGGAGCCTCCATCTCTTTGCTCGTGCCCCCAGGCCGCTGCTCTCTGTTGTGCTGACACAAGCATTTGTGCAGTCACCTGGGAAAGGAGTCAGAGAATTGATCCAGCTGAAGAACAACGCAGCAACAAGAACAACAATGTCTTTTTTCAAGGTCAAGTCTCTAGGCAGTCCAATAACTCAAGTCTATTTTAAAATCCAAGAAGATCCCAGTCAATGGTACCTTGGATATCTTTGCATTGCTTCTCATTGTATGGATAGGCCTTCATAAAGTGGGGGGAAATAGTTGGGCCATGAATTCCCAGTAGACAAGGAATTAGAAGTTGGTTTCTAACCATGGGAGCAGTGAAGAGCCTTCCGGGGGGGCAAACACTTCAGCTGGTTTTCAAATGAGGCTTTGCCCTTAGGGACTGCTCAGGACAGCTGTTTGCAATAGCTGGAAATGTCCTCTGCGTCGAAGGATCTGACATATACAGAGCCAAATATTAACTACCCTCCACTAACAGTCTTGGTCATAGGACACAGTAAAATGTGTGGCAGAGCATACCACATTTCTCTGCAAAAATATTAATAATAAAAAGGTGGTTTCTTTCCACTTTGTACTTTTTTTAATGCAGTGCAAACTCCATAGCTATGACAGCTATGGTTTATCAGCACTTTTCACTCAAATTTCACAAGACAAAGTGACCACACAAGGTGCAAGACTGACTCCAAGCACTTTAAATGTATAGCAAAGAGCAATGCCCACTATGGCTCAGAAGAAATGACTGTCATTAGGATAACATTGATGCTAGATAGGAAAAGATCTACTCGAAATGAGACCTGAGGAACAAACTAGGTTTTTCTTCAGCACCAACCTAAAGCTGTAGGATGAACCTGGGAAGCTGTGGCTGTTCTTCGGTGCATGTCTGTCCCAAGGAGCAAGGCCATGGCCTGGGTGCACATCAGTGTTGTGACCCCCAGTCAATTCCCACTGTCTGCAAACCTGCAATGACACCTACTGGTAACCAAAGGATAATCAGATCCAGATGTTCCTGCTTAAAAAACCCATGAACATCCTTGTTTCCAAAGGTAAAAGAGATTTATTTTTACAACTTGACTTTCCACTATTAAGGTTCTCCACAGACAGTCTTTCCGCACACCCTCGTGTGGGAAGCTGAGCTCTGCTTAGCACAGCTGATGTGCAAACCACTCATAAACCACTTTGGTCTCCTGTTCCAAGGAGCCCAATAACCGTAGCTCCCTCTAGATGAGGTCTGGGGGCTGGAATACATATGGACCTAATATATGTAGGCTTTGGGGCTCATTACCCTTTTTACCTAGAGCCAAGTCAGTCGGGTCAGCAGAGTATGGACCTTTCATGGAGCTTGCTTCTGCTTCCACACTAGTGCTTCTCTCATCCTGTGTAGGACTGGGGTTGCCTTTATACTGCAGTCCTCTGCACCCAGTGCCAAACTGCTCTCTGACGGCCCGGGAAGGCGATTCTCTTCATCTGCAGTCATCAACAACCTGGGGAAATGAAGCAACCATCACTTCAAATAAATTAGTCCCACTACAATCTCACTACAGTCCTATTAAACAGGATTTAGTAGAAATCTAATTTTAGAATCCAACACTGCAAAGTTTCTGAGACAGTGCCATTGCGTTTCCTTCAAAAATCTTTGTTTCCCAGCCTTAGGACAAACAATTGGCAAAATACATCCACCAAATCTGTGGAGAACTGACTTCACCAGCTAGAAGGCAGCAAGAAATGTGACGGAGCTGTGAAAAGTCTCACACCTCACCCCAGGGTCAGGGCAAGGCTTTCTAATTCCAAAGAAAAACATGGAAAGAAAGAGAGGAATGAGTATAAGGGACTAACTGCAGATATCCTGCAAGCTGAAAGGGTTTTAATGTGTGTTCTGTCAGTCCTGCACCACTGCAGCAGGAGTAACCCTTGTACCATTAATCAGAGGTTAAAATACAAGCCAAGTAATTAGACTTTAGGAGTCCTACACTAGATTTTCTTACCAAATTCCATGCATTTGTCCCAAATTTTAAATTGCCTCCTTTGTCTTCTTTTGACACATTTCTGGGTGGCACTACAGCCATGCATAAATAATGAGGGCTTCTTAAATTATTCCTAGGGTTATAACAGTTGATTGAAACTAGTCCCACCCATTAAAGAAAATCTGCAGGGAGAATACTCTAGATCTGTAAATAGGTAAGGCGCCATATAGAGGGATTATCTGTTGACGTCCCTGAAGAATACAGGGCCTAGATTAATCTCATTAACTTTGGACATGTACAAAGTAGATGTAAATACCTGAGGGCTACATTTTCAGCCTCTCTCTACAACTAAGAGAAATGAGTCCTTGTAGGGCACAATTCATCTCACCTTAGACATCCGAAAAGATCTGTGTCAAGATGAGATGAACACTACCTGGTTTTCCTTATAGAGAGACAACCTATATATCAACTTTATGCAATAGATATAAAAACTTATGTGGAAGATCCTATAAAGAAAGTCATTGCAGAACAGAGAACATCGTTTGAGCCCTTAATTTGGGTACAAATAACAGTTTGCTCATCCCAAACCTTCTATGGTACAATAATATGTAGAACAGAGTATCTTTTTAGACAACTCTGGGAAACAATTTAGCTTCTAAATAGACTTGTTTGTCCATGGCTATAACAGACTGAGAGCAAATGCACTATTTACTTAGTTTAGCAAAATTTGAAATCTTCCTTTAATTAGAGCTAACTACAGTCTGCTCTTGAAATTCACTTATTTATACTGCTCTGATATAATGGATTGGGAATTCTCCTGTCTCCCATTTTTGCAAACATGTTGTTCCTCCTGCGCTCCGGACGCAT